TGCCCGGGCGCCCACCTTGCTCGTGCTGGAGCCACCTGCGCTCCAGGTAGTACTCGTAGCAGCTCTCGAACTCCCGCGGGCTGTAGTTGGGCACGCGCACGGGCACCATGGGGTCCAGGGCATCGAAACCCTCCTGCGAAGGGAAGGGGGCTCTGGGGCAGGCGGCGGCGCCTGCGCAGCCCCACGGGTGCCAGGGCAGAGGCCCGAGCCCAGGCGGCCCAGAGGAGAAGCCTGGACGGTGCTTGGGGGCCGTGGAAGGCSGGCAAGCGGGTCACGGAGCAGGATTCCTCCTCCTTTTATTTCTGCTGCCCAGCCTGGCGGAGGGGAGGCGAGAGGGCGGCACTCACCTTTCCTAGCAGCTCGTGGGGCAGATACGCAGAGCTCGGCTTGAAGAGAGAGCCCGTCTGGCTCAGCGTGGTCACAATGGCCCCTCCGCTCTGCAACAAACCCATCAGAGAGCCGTTTAGCGACCAATGTGCTCTTTAGGAAGCACTGAAGGACCCTGAATGTCTGAGGCTCTCCCTTCAGCTCAGAGTTCCTTCAGGGCCAACGCCCCCAGGCAGTTTCTAAACTGGTAAAATCAATCAGGATTCCCCACCCCGACTCATGAAAAACAAAGGAGCGTTGCCTCTCAGTAACATAGACAAGAGCCCAGCCCCAGAACAGCTGCATCATCTTTATTCTCCTCTTCTCTGAAGAAAACAGTGCAGCTTTCACGCTTTGTCTCCTTTAAATGAGAAATACCCTCAGGTGTGTGACCACCCAGTGACACACTCAGGAGCTTGAAATGCTGAGAATGAGGCCCCTGAGGGTGCAGATGGGAACTCACCCAGTCATTCATCATCATCTTCCTCAGATTGTGCACAAGTGTCAGCTCCTCCGGAGAAACCTGATGAAAACAGGTTTGCTAAGAAGCCTATATGACTTTTTTTTCGCTATCGGTTTCCACCTGGGATATATACAGCCCTTTTCCCCTGCTTTAAATCACTTTGGAAACAGCCTTTCTGTGCACCACAGCGGATGAATTTCTTACGGGGCTTTTGTCTTCTTTCTTCAGCGTGGTCCTTCCCCAGAGCGCGTTGACTCCGTCCACTGCCACCAGCAGCCGGAAGGCGCCCAGGCGACACTGCTGCTTCAGCTCCTTCAACACCACCCCGACGGCGTCGCTGGCGTTCCTCACTCGCGCTAAACCCTTCAAACAGAAGAGGACATTGATGCCCTCCGCTTCCCAGGACGACATCTGTGAGGGCTTTAGAAGCAAAATTGTTCTTCGCTTGCATTTGTTCTGGGAGCATTTATTCTTCCTTACCTGCTCCACTACTTCCCCCAGTGGTCTGCCCTCCTCAGTGCTGTCCCGTTTGCCCCACACGTATTTTYGTTGCGTTTTTATCTGCAGTAGAAGAGGGTAAGAGAGGATAACGCATGCAGTTTCTGAAAAATGGTCTTAGCTACTAACCTAGACAGCCTGCTATCCTCTACAAACCTCTTTTAAGAAATGCTCATTTGTGATTTTGAAGTTCTTTAGCCAGAAAGAGGCTTGCAAAGGCTGATCAAGCCGTTCTTTCTTATAGGACGATTGCATAAGTTCCCTGCAGTTTTTCACCCAGAGATGAGCTGTAAGTTAAAAGCCAAAATCAATCACTTTGTTTAATAAAAGTCATTTGATAAGTTGGATGGCAGGGGAAGAGGTCTGTTCAGGTGTATCCTTATTCTGCTCTATTTTAAGGGCAGGATGAAAGAGCGAACGCCTGCATGTGAGTGCTGTTCTACTTTGTAGCTACGTTCTGGGTTATCTGGGGGCTCTGTGCTTCATAAGCCCCCTCCGTTTTGGAAAAGCAAGGCCAACCTGCCGTGCTCCACGCTCTGCCCTACGTCGTTCCCTGCATGCAGCAGCACGGGCTGGGTTAGCGCCGTGGGCAGCTGCTGCAGCAGCGAGGCTGCGTGTGGGTCGTTACCGTCRGGGATGTGCAGCACCAGCCAGCCTTGCCTCGCGCAGTAGTGAACCACGTGACACAGGGTCATCGTCTTCCCTGTTCCCCTCTCACCATCTTCAACAAGGCTGTCAAGGAAATAGACTTTTTCTCCCCCAAAATGCCCCACCGCAGAGAGCAGCATTACTTGACTGCCATTCTTTTCCAAAGAGCAAATCCAGAGGTGGTAGAGAGATGACTGGTTTTCCAGCAGGTGCTTTTAGCAGCGGCCCGAGGACACCACCTCCTGTGTCCAGCTCCCCCAGAGCTGTTAATCCCCCACCAGCTGGGCCCCAGAGAGACCCGCGTGGTGGAGCTGCCCCCTCGCCTCCCCTGAAGGCTAAACCGCAGTGCTCAGCATCACCTTCAGCTCTGTAAACTCTGCTCATATTTAGCTTACAATCTGCAGTCGACCGAGTGGTAAAAGATACAGATAACGTATCTGACTGCTGGGTTGGCAAAGTTGGAGCTTTTGAGGTAAGACAAGAGTTCCAGAGCTGGTTTTCGCACCATCAGGCAAGCCTCGTTGAAGGTCTTAACCTGAGAAAAGGAACAGAAGGTGAACAAGCAGCCCCGGCTTTAGAAGTTGAATTTTTTTGATGGCCAAAGGTGGAATTTTCTCCTCCTCCTGCTATTTTGGTCACATTGACCATGACTTCTAAGTTAGCAGCAAGAATCAGGAATAATCAACATTCTTGCAGCCTGTCAACTTCAGAATAATCATGTGTCTCTGTTTTTAACAGGAAAGCATCACAGATCCCTGATGGATCCAGTTCTCCCTACCCATGGGTCCAACTCCTACAGACCAGTTTGGACACGAAGTACCTGCTGCTGGAAAGGACTGGGAAGTCCGTGTGGAAACACGGCTTTCACCTCCTGAAGGGCGATGTTGTAGTGGCGACCCTCGTGGTGCTCTCCGTGGTTGGCCTGGCAAGGTAGAAGCAATTCTATCAGATAMCTTTTTTCTGAATAAGGAAAGTCCACGAGGAGTAGAGCTAACAGCAGCTCTGCTTGTGCACGGCCCCATTAGCCATGGATGGGAGCAGAAAAGCAGCACTCCAGAGACCATTTATATTCTCAGTTTCAYCACTGACCTGCTGCGTAACCTTGGGCAAATCCCTTTGCTTTTCTGCTCCCACCTCTGCACAGTGGGTCGGTGTCCTCACTCCAAGTCACTCTGAGTTTTGCTAATGGAGAGGTATGTAAAAGCCAGCTCTTATTAAAAATTTACTTTTCATCTGGCCTTCTTAATTCATTTTTAATAGGGCTTTCCCGTGCACCCGTCAGCAGAAACTCATGGGCAGCTGCTGAGGGGAGGCGGCAGAGACGTGGCCTGCGACGCGGCGTGTCCAAGCACCCCGGGCTGAGACATTAATAAGTGCAGTTGTCGCCAAAAACACCAGGCACGTGAAGCCGGAGCGCCCAAGTCAGTTGCTTGGCAACGTAAACTGTAGACACAGGATGGAGGAGACAATTCCTGCCATCTGGACTCTTCTGTGCCATCTATAGACCCTGCRATCACGTGGGTGAGATCATCTGCATGCTGCTGTTTCCATAGATACCCCAGAGGAATCAGTGCTGAAAGGCTCCAATTATGGAGGCAGCAGAAAAGCACCTCAAAGGCTTATTCCTTTCATTTATTCCACTTCATTTTGTGCTTGGGACACAGTATAGGGCTGCAATTACGATGCTGGAGAGCTGGGCTGCACTGAGGTCGTTGCAGGGGGTTTCTATCATCCCTTTGTAGGCAATTTAGGGAGGTTAGTGAGGGAAGAATACCGGGAGTGGAAATTAATAGTGTCTAATGACAAGCGAAGCCACATGCGAGCTTCTACATTGCACAATCTATTTCATCCTTGCAACGAGAGAGAGAATCACTGCTGGTTCCCAGGAGCTTTCAGGCAGAGGACCAGCCCTGCCTTGCTCAAACCCACGCAGGTGCCCTGCACAGCCCTGGCCTATTTTCCTTTTGCCTGGGGATCGCAGCCGAGATGCCCGTTCCTAGGCCTGGGTACCCCCTCCSCTCCTGATTCTTGGACACACACGATCCCGGGAAGCGCCCCCAGCTCTGGCACGTCCACAGGCAGGCCCAGCGAATTGGGCTACCCGAGGGTAAGGAACACGGCGGAGCTCACCGGGTCGCTTTCGGCGGTACGGAACACGGCGCTCGCYGCTTCTGCCGAGACGAGGACGTCCTGGCCGACAGCAGAACCCAGCCAGCCCTTGGCAGTGCTGCGGAGAGCGCGACCACGGTCCAGCTAGAGGGTGAGGGGGAGAGAAGGGCRAACTGGCGACCAGCTTCTTAGCGGTCAAAGATTACAGGGTAAAAATTTAGATTACATTTCATAAACCCCCTGCACGCGTGTTAGGATCGGGTCAAGGTAACGTGCAATGCAACGGCGAAGGCTCTGCAACTGGAACGCAGATGAATCCTGAGGAAGCATGTGTTAGACATCCACGTTTCACATACTTCTCCTAACCTATTTCCAGTCACTCTAAGTTATCTACTACCACTAGCGACCCAAGCCCTATCCCTAAATGAGTTATCCCATTAAAGATCACTTAAGTGCCCAGCACAGCCATTAAGGTCTTATTGCTGGGGAGCTCCCTTAATGTTTCTGCCTACACTGATGAATAGTAGCTAGTACCTTGGAAATTCAAGCCGTCTAGTAATCCATAATCACCACAATTATTGAGGGATTAGCGTGGTGCTGCCCACTATTTGATATTTATAATTACACTCCCTACATTGATTTTTCCCAACTGTGTCCCAGCGTACAGACTCCTTCATTATAACACAGACACGGTCGAGAAAGTGAAGCAGCCAGCTGAGCTGATTAATCTTTTTCCTCCGCAGCCTGCAAAGCTCAGCCAAAATGGGCAAGAAAGCGAGTCGTAAAAGGACGCATGTTTGATGCTGCAGGGACAGAAAAYAGTGAAGCGTGTGTCTCGCAACTGAGCGCGGGGCTGTGCTCCTCAGTGAGTAAGCAATTCATGGACTGCAAACAGGCTGCGAGCACAACAAGCAGAACTGAGGGCCACCTTCTGTATCACTGGCTGGAACAGTTGCTAGCTCCGGCTGCAAACGGAGCAGTCGCTTCCTATTTTGTCTGCCCTGACAAGAGCAGTCAGACGCTCGAGTTCAGAGGCGGCAGCAGCTGTTCCAGCTCTGCGCTGCGTGATGCAGTTCTGCCCTCATCCGGGATCTCCTCGGGGGCCATTTGAAAGCCACAAGGGCTTAAAAGAAAGCGTAATGTCAGATTACCCCCCATTCTGCCCTCAGTACAGAAGGGACTCCTCAATCAGCAATTTAGGTCTCACTCCATGTAAGGAAGGAATTAAACCCATTTATATGCCACACCATACACATATATAATGAACTAGAGTAGTGCCAACACAGAAGATAACTAAGCATTCTTTTTTCTGCTCTATTTTAACATCCTCTTCCCTTATTCCGACGGCGCTCTTTTTCAGACAAACAGTATGGCTTATTTGACTGTTTTTAATTTTAGAGTCCATGGAAGTGGCTTCCTTGCTTGCTAAGAGCAAGGCACTAAGATGATAATTTAACAGAGGAATAACTAGAAGATGCAAGGGCTGTCTCCTCTTCACCTAAAACATCTCAGCCTTATGCTTGGGGCTTGGGGCTTCACCTCAACTCCTGAGTGAATGTTTCAGTAGGCAAGGACTCATCCCTTGGCCTCACCATGCTCCTTTTTTTTTGGACGTGTGCATGCAAAAATCCCTTGGGCTGCTCAAAAATTCAGCAGAATGATCCTTAGACAGAGTGGTGTTACCAGCTCTACTTCTTCAAAGCAGAAAACTCAAGAGATTAGCAAAGGTAGMAAGTCGAATGCAGACAGAGACTTGCACTTCATGAATGAGTACCTCTCCCTTTACAAAAATGGAGCTTAGTGCATCTGTATTTTCAACAGGCTATAAGGAAACTTCTGAGTGTTTGGAAACCTCCATTAATGCATTATATCCCTTGATTTTATAAAGTAACAACRTGCTATTTGGTCCCTCATCCTGAGCAGAAAAATAAAAGAAAAAAAAAAAGTGGCTTTTTGCTGATCTGCTTGGCTTCACAGGGAATGCAGAACCATAAGCACCTTTCTGGTTGAACTTAGATTGTGTGGTAAATCTCGAAAACAGGCCGAGCTTCAACCCATGTTGCATCATCTTTGAGCACAGTTTATCCTGGTAGCGTGGAGGGGCTTTTAGAGTAACTTTTCCATCTGTGGAAGGGCAGTAGCGTGAAGTCAGATCCTGAAATGGCAGCAGACTACCACGTGGTACAGGGATCCATCCGAAAACGTGCCGGAAGGTGGAGCTGTTTGGACACGAATCCGCACGGACTCCCCAGAAAGGGCAGTTCCTCCCACAAGGGGCTCCGCGATGAACGCGGGGCTGCTCAACTGGGATCTTCCCTTGGGAAGCGAGCAGATCCRCAGTCTTCCTCTTTAAAGGCTGCGCAATCACTAGGTGCTATTTGAGAAGAGCATTTAAAAGACAACAGCAAACGCGACTAAAACCCTTCAGCGTTAGGATATTGCTGCAGCTTTGTGGCGTTAGCTCCCCGGGTGCTAAGGGAGCTTTGCCAACAACACGGTGCTGCTGCAACGCACTGACRGCTCCTCTTGCAGCACCCACCAGAGGCCCAAGAGAGCCGATTCTGGCAGGACTGTCTTCACACAACCCGACCAGCCTTTGGTGGTTCCCACATCAATGCCAAGGGCTTTTTCCCCAGCCCCTCAACATGTATAATTTGTGGATTCTGGACTTTTGCAAACGTTTTACTTCAGTCTTCTAATAGATGCCTCGGCATTTAGTGATTCACTGGCTATGGCTGTCACTTTTTWCAGTTGTAAACGGTAATTCCAGGCACCGGGAGCGCGGGGGCCCGGGAGGCAGCCCCATTACAACACTTACCTTTGCAGCGCAGCACAGCAGCYCTCTCACGCTTCGCAGCATTTTGTCCTGCAGGGACAGAAATGGAATTGGGTTTTTCTTTTTTTTTTTCTTTAATTAATACTCTTTCTTGTTGAATATAGGACAGCAGAAGAGAATCATTCCTGTCCAAAGAGCTTAAAGTCAAGGCAGGCAAGTAACAACTCGGACACACTGGTCTGCAGCAGCACAGTTGACTGGTGCTAAACTGGGATCACACAATTGTGTTTCCTTCTTATGGTATTTCCTCCTCTCCAGCTTCATCTTGACCATGTGTTGGTGTCTACTGCTCAGATAACTTAGATTCCGACAGGGCAAAATGAAAGCACTCAAGCAATTGCAATGCAAGGAYTGGGGCAAAGGAAAAACTAAGTGGGTTATTTAGATCTGTCCTCTCTGCGGCCATTCAAGGTTTTCATGCCACTTCCCTAGGAGAAAAAAAGATAATACTCAAAGATGGTTTAAAAGCTCTTGGTAAATTTTGGTAAATCTTTGGTAGAAAATYGCGGTAAATATATTATTGGAAGCAAAATAACCACCTGGTGCTTCCTGACAGGGAAAAACTGCCTTGGTGGATGGGCTACTCCTGGGTTCCCGGGGGGTCTCAGCGCCGTCCTCGCTGAAGGGTTTTGTAAACGGGGGATTTTTGAAGGGGCGACGAGGATTTAACGGGGCCCAACGACGCTGGCGACRCTCTCCCGGGAGCCTCAAAGCTCCCCGGTCCTTTGGGGGGCTCTTCAGTAGGGTTTGTCGCTCCAAGCTGGCAAAGAGCCAGGAAACGTGGGCSGTTTTATTTGGTATTTTATGATTTAAAAAAAAAAAAAAAGAATATTTTTAATCTTTTTGTTAAAAACGGTCCCGGCGCGGGGGCCGCGGAGAAAACCGGCGCCGCGGGGCTCCGCTTCCGGGACGCTCGTCCCTCCCAGCAGGCCCGGGGAGCCGCAGGACACGCGTCCCTCGGGCCGGCGGCCCCGTTCCCGCCGCGGGCCCCGGCGCAACCGACACTCACCGCGCACCCCGCACCGCCGACGGAAGCCGACACGCTCCAAACCGCGCTGCCCCTACGGGTGCCGCCGAGGGCCGGGCGGGGCGGGGCGGGGAGCTGCGCCAGCCCCGCCCCTGTCCCGCAGCTGCGGACGGCGGCGAGGGCGGGGCCTCCGGGGAGGGGCGGGGCCGCGCAGGGGCGGGGCCTGGGGGCGGGGCGCTCGCTCGCGGCGGAGCAGGAGCCGCCGCCATTTTGGTTTCGCTGCCTCGGCGCCGCGCAGGGCCGAAGCGGTGGCGGGTCCGAGCGGCTCCCGCCCTGGCGCTGTCCGCGCGGGCGGCCGGCAGGATGCGGCGCGGAGGAGCCCGCCCTCGGCCCCGGCCCTGCTGCCGCTGACACGGTGAGGAGCGGGCGAGCGGGCGGGCGGGCAGGCGGCGACCGGGA